GGAACTTCAGAAGTAGTAGCACATCAGATGGATGTAGTATATTGTATCAAATGTACCATCAGGACACGTGATGTCATTCTGATGATTTCCACAAGATTAGAGGATAAGCAGATAAAAATCTCTCTGTATAGATTCTGAATATTTAAATCAGTACAAAAAGTGCAAGTCTCACTGTGTTGGAAACAATTCAAAGTATGAAGATACGAAGATTTTTCTCCTTTTGGATTTAAAATTCTCTTCAGCTTTAAATAAGTGAGGGGATAAAAAATACATCTAGGAGAAAAACCCATCATTAAAGATGAGGACTCTGTGTGTACTCTCAGATACCTTATTCCTTGTAAGATCATCTGCACACTGCTTCACGTCTTTATTTAATAAGTAATAATGTTAGAAGTTCCTACTTGAAAAAGCTTGTTTGATTGTTCTCTTAAGATAATTATTTGAGAATTTTCATGAGTTTTAAAAGTTACCCGTCCTTTTGATATTTAGCTCATAAGTGGGTTGCCAACCTAAAGAGAACAACTGGGTACCCAGAGGACCACTATTATTTTTCATGAGGAAGGCATAAATATAAACTCCTGACTAAATTTGCAAGTGTAATGATAGCTATATTAACCCAGAGAGAATTTATTTCAGTTACAGACCAAACAGATCAACAGATTTTGGCTGTGAATGTGACACTTCAATCAAGTCTGTACTCAAGTTCCCACTGTGCTGACCAAAGTTACAGGTGGTAAAGAAAACTAACAAGAAAAATAAGATCTCTAGAGACATCACCTAAGTTAACTAATGGATTTCTAACTGCAAATAACTGAAAATAACAAGAATCGTAATTACAAAGCAGTGTTTCTTGCTTGGAGGACACAAAATAAGACATGTGTGGTCTTGAAGAAAAAAACCTCAAGCATGAGTACATGATCTGTGATTCAATGATGTCATATTAACAGTGTAAAAGATAAGGATTCATATTAAATTTAAACAAAAACAAAAACTAAATAAACAAACAACCCCCCCACCAACATATAGAACATATTCTCATAGATTAAGTGGTAAGACAGTTGGTAAATATTTGTCAAGCACGTCATTAAAACAGGAAATGATTTTTAAGACAAATGTGTTTTGTAAACATGCCAAGGAAGGATGAAAAGGGAAGAATAAATAGATGGGTTAATTATTACCATGAGTTGTCTCACTTCTGTTTGACAGTTTCCTGTGAAAGATGAGGAACTGGGGGCCATAGCAGCCCTCAGTCTTACAGCAGCTCTTCCACATTGCAGTGGAATGAGAAGAAGACCTGCAGAAACTCAAAATTTCAGAAGCTCTTGGAAGAAGATTCATGCTAGTCTCCAGAGCAAGGTCTAAAGCTCAGGGTAACCCAGGAAGGTAATCTAGTTTCCTTTCCTGTAGTGAAGGGATGATGCTCATCCACTTGGCTCTGTATTCCTTGAGTAATCAGATTATTTCCAATTTAGATAAAAACTATGATGAAACTACAATGATCTAAGTTTTTTTTTTGTTTTTTTTTGTTTTTTTTTTCATATAAAAGCTGTTAAAAATATTCCTAGCTCATTAGAAAAATTCTAGCTTACAAAATGCATTGTGTTCCCCTTCTCTCCTGATGTCAGACTTCAGGGTTTTTTGTTTGTTTGTTTTTTGTTTTGTTTTGTTTTTAACTTGTTTTCTTTTTTTTCCTTTTCCATACTCAGGAAGTGAAGAAACTCCTGATATGACCATGTCTGTCCCACTGGGGAAATAAATGTAACGCTGCGTTTAATTCATGTGATTTGTCAGTATAATTAAAATAAATTGAATCATTATGACTTTCTGGATGTGTGTTGGGATTGTGGTCAACACAAGACAGGACCAGCACTGCAAATTATCTCTGTGGCTAGAAAATGAAATTCCAGTTTCTGTAGTTCTGACCTAACATCTTGTCCCTTTTGGGAGCATAGGGATGATGTTTCTGTGCTTTGTGACTTTCTCATAGGTTGAGGACCTTAGGCAATATCCCTTGCCAACAACATCATTAACAACACTAAAGGTGAAGCCACACCATTTCAGAAGTGCACAATGTGATACGTGTTCTGTAGGGCCGCTGCAGAAAGCTAACACTCATTCTGTCATTTGCATGGTGGCAGTGTTGGGCTTAATGGCTCACTCAGTTGTTTTCCCCTTATTTGGAGATAACGTTGCTTAGAGGCTGAGTTGCAACACCACGCCATGCTCCTCCAGAACAGCGTGTGGAGCTGCAGAGCTGGAAGGGTTCGGTGGTGCCCAGCTTGCAGCCAACAGGTGCTGGGAGATCCTGGAGCATCCCAGGCTAAGGCTGGCGTCATGGGACTTAAATACAGTCTCAGCTTTGATATAGCTCTGATAAAAGCAATGGTTTTGACCTCTGGTCACTATTATGACAGTTGTATCAGTGTTTGATGTCTCCACTGAGCTGCTGCTCACCTCTGCTCTTCGGCTTTTGCTACTGATTTCCACCAGCTCCACTGGTTCAATACGTTGATAAACTGAAGTTTTAAACAATAATACATACATTTGAAATCTTTTGCAAGATTACAGTGACTCTTGGCATTTCCCTAGTGGAAAATGTATTTTACAAAATTCGAGGAAAGTTTGAGTATGTTTTGCTTCCTTTGCTTTAATTCAATAGGCATTTTAGTTTTCAAAGATCACTGTAACATATAGATGTATTTGGACTCCTCTAAGCAAAATATCCCATGGTGAGTAATTTCCTTGATGTAAAAGACAGGTTATTAAACTTTAAGCTTATTTTTAATGAACTTCAGGGGAAGAAAATTGTGAAAGTTAAATCTACCTTTATTTCAAAACTATCAGTTTAGTGCCAATTATTGTTTGCTGCAATAGTGGTTAAATGTAGGCTGCTGTATCTCTTGCAATGGGGTAATTTTGTTAATATACAAACCACGCCAGGACTGGATCCTTGGTAGCCAAAGGGCTCTGACCTCCCAGAAGAGGCAGATATCCTGCTGCAGGTGCACGGCCACTGCCCTCAGCTCTGATCTCTGTTCTCTATTTTTCTTGTAACTGTGGATTCATATTTAGGCAAGCACTTCAGTCTAGCTCCAAGGATCTTTTTTTCTCCACGGTTTTGCTTATCGTCAGTGAATTGTAAATATTCTGAATAATCATGCTTTTGTATGTTATTCCCATGTCAGCTTACAAAAGGATGGAAAGCAAAATGCAGAAATGAAATATTTCCTTTTGCTCTGCTAGCATCAAATATTTATGCAGTAGGCAGTTACAGCACCCTTGCTTTTCTCATCTGCCTATGTCAGATGAACACGAGCAGTGACGAGGGGGTTAATTCCTGCTCAACAGGCACACTGTGAATTCAGGGCTCTGCATAGCATGGTGTGGGGCTGGCAGCAGACGTGTGTGACAGCAGTGAGATGCTGTACCAGCCTGTCCAGTTTTCCCTCACGTTTTCCAGTTGTTTACCCTTGAGATGTAAAATGGCAATTTGGCATAGGCTACCGGCACGGTGTGATGTGAGCATCTGCGTAAAAGGCTGCACGGATGGAGCATGCCCAGTGCTCTGAGCAGCCCATTACCCCACCCCCAGCCAATCTAGGAGGAGATGAAATGAACTTTGCACTTGCAAATGTCACTGAATGCATTTTGCACAGGATTTTAAAAGGTTCTCTTACAAGCACTATTTTTAACAGCCAAATCCGCCCCCCCAAATGAAAAAGCCCTAGGTATTTTTCTGTGATCGACCTCAGTTATTATCAATTGAAGCATCTCTCACAACATTTACCTGAAGTCTGGCGTGTTTTATTTTTCTATCATTCAAGCTGAGCTTTTTTTGGTGGTGGTGTGGATATTTTCTTTTTTTTTTCTGATTTTTTTTTTAATTGGCATGAGAAAATTTGTGAATTTAATTGCACTAGAATACTTGGAAACAGTGAGGCTGCAAGCTTGAAAGGCAGAGGGAAGAAAAGAAAGGCTCATGCAGCAGAGCATGGATAGGAAAGGAGCGGTGATTCTGCGGTGCTCAGCGTGCACATGTTGTGTGAGATCAGTGCCGGGCGCTGCAGCTGCGGACAATAACTGAGCTGTCTGGCTAATGAAGGCCACCTGGATCAGGCTTCTGAAAAGAGCCAAAGGAGGACGTCTGAAGAATTCTGATATCTGTGTAAGCCCTGTCTTTTCATTATTGGCATATATTCTATGTGTTGCAGAGAGGGAAGAAAAAAAAAAAAAAAAAGCCACGGTGTGGAGAGGACAGTTGTTTTCATTCTAATTGAATTAGCAGAACTCTGTTTTGTATGCAGGGAGATGCAGAGGGAAATCAGAGCTGTCATTATTTATAGAGCTGTTCTGGCGTTGGGACTGCTTCCATTGTGGCAGTTTGTGGACCTGCGTTGAGCCCAGACAGATTTTATTAGTGAGAAGTTGATTTGTGGTCATTTACATGTTTTGCTGAGGGGTAGAAGATGGATGCAAGCCATTTGCACTTCTAATGGGGAAAGTGTGTCAGGTAAAGAGGTTGTCCTAAAATAAAAATGCATAGCAGAGATTAAATCTGCAATCAGGAGTGTTGTGCCATGGTAATTATTGATGGTGAAGTAGAATTTTGATTGTAAAAATGTGTTTCCTTGTTAATAATGTCACTGCTTAGACTTCTCTTTTTATGGAGCCATCCTTGAAGCTGCTGTGTGTCCTTCAGCCCTGCACTGCACCACTGCTGTAACTCTACAGAGCGACTGGCACAGTTTACTAAAATGCATACAGATCAGCACGCAGGAGTAGTGCAGGAAATGCAACACAAGGGAAGACACCTGTGCTTTGGAAGTTCTCCAGAAGAAAACGTCTATTTAGATAAATTTCACTAAGCATCATTCCCTTTTTGGCAGTTATTCTCTTTTCAGGAATACAGATGTAAGAGGAAAGACAAGGTGCATAATCACTTCTGCTTTTTTTTGGATTCCAGAACAACTTATGATACTGTTTTTCTTTTCCTTGTGCAGGGCTCGGCGGACTCCTACACCAGCCGTCCATCCGACTCCGATGTATCTCTGGAAGAAGACAGGGAAGCAGTGCGGAGAGAGGCAGAGCGACAGGCCCAGGCACAGTTGGAAAAAGCAAAGGTAAGGTGTTATTTCTCATCAGAGGTCCATAACATGTTCTGTTTTAAAAATCTGTCATCTCATCTGTTACTAGTACAAATATTCTTAATATTTGAGCGCGCACCATCAGACATTTTATAAAGCTTTTTTTCTATACAACAGTAGAAATTATAGGGAAAAAATCAGAATATGAGTCTTCCATGAAAAGCACTCGATTTGCTTATATATTAAAGCATAATCTTTTAAAAATGCATATACTTTTTTCTTGTATTGGATGTATGTATTAATTTGCAGTACATATGGTCAAAGCTTAGAGTTCTTACTGAGGAGACTTGTAGAAGTTTGCCTGTGGATCCCTTTGTCACTTAAAACTTCTAGAAATCGGCCCTCAAATGTCCTATTCACCTCCCTTCAATGAAGAATCAATCCCTACAAAAGTGATATGGTAATGAAATCTCTTGGAAAGATCTCTTTTTCCTGGAGACTTCACTGGCTTTCTTTACCCTTCAAGTGTTAGTTTATCCTGTGAGTAATGTGCTCTCGGACTTGTTAAGACCTCTGCTTATAACTTCATATTGTTGGCATACAGTGACAGATTAGTATGGAAATATCAGATGAGCTTCAAGTTCTTCCCTTGTGTTTATTTAGGACTGTGAGGCTTTTAACAATAATACAGTGAGAGAGTATTTGCTTGTTTTTCTTTCATCTGTGCTGCATGTTTCAATACTATTGCACCTGTAAAAATCATGCTTGTCTTGTTTGTTATCCTTCATTTATCACTTCATTTCAGTCTTTTTTTCTCTTTGCTGTCTGCCAGATCTTGGTGTACGACTGTTTTCTAAGAGCAGTTCTTCAGTACCATTTCTTATATATTGAAATACGCTGCGTAGATTCCTCCTCAGCTCTACCTTTTTTCTTCCTGCGATCTCCGTGTTTCTCTCTGGCTCTCTTCCTCCATTTTGTCTCGGTTTTTATTTTGTTATCTCTGATCTACCTCCCGTTCTGTTTCCTTTTCCGCTGCCAGCTTTGCCTCTGCCCGTTTATACCACCTGTTTTATGAGAGTTCTTCATAAATTCAGGAGTCCACATCACTAGGTATTCATTTGATCATTTAGCAAGGGCCAGCTCTATAAACAATACAGCAATATAATGCATAAATAGAGGGTTTCTTCAGGCCAGAAAACTTGAACAGGAAAGCTAAAACTGTTTTTTTGTTGCTTTTTTTTTTTATTTGCAAAACATAATTGTTGACCTATATTTAATAACAGCTCCTAAAGCAGCTTTTTGATGAGCTGTTGGAACTTGCCAACCCCAGGAGATGCTGAACACTTCTTTGAAGTTGAGTGCTGCTGCTGTAGCATCAGTACAGTAGAGGTGCCCTAGAAGCAGCCTGTTTTTTCCCTTTCCCCTTGCCTCTTAAAGCTGGTGCTGATCATAATCAGGAGTTTCAATTTTATCAGTGTTGCTTTTTGTTAGCTGAATATTTTCTCCTCTGTTAGGAAAGATGATAAAGACTGCTCTGAAATTCAGGTGAAGTGTTGAATTTTATCTATAAATGCACAATCTTTAAAATGAAGAGTTGCAGTAATAATATCTTGCAGACTAATCAGGGTAGCACTACTGCACTTATTGCTGAACTGATGCATCTCCTAGTGATGAGTAAATCTATGCTAGTGTTGCTATGGGAATTTGGCTTGCTGATGCTGGCTTGAATGCATGGACAGCCCTTATGTAATATTCATGACCTCTAGCACAGCTGCCATTGCAGTGCACAGAGAAAATGCTACCCAACCCCATTTTTTAATTGTCTTTCTATACGTTAAAGCAGTGTTCTCACTCCAGCTGGCATAAGATACAGTTTCTAGGTCTGACACCATCTGAGACTATAAGACAACTTGTGATCAGTCAAAAGTACCAAAGGCAACTGCCAAAATCAGCCTGCTGTAACAATGGGCAATTCCAGTTGTACATAAACACAATATGAATTATTTAAAACTCTTGTGCTTTAAAACAGATTAAAGCTGGAACTATGTGAGCTAATTCTTGATCCAAATGTTAAAAAGTAGATTGGGCTGTAATATGTGGAAATCATTTTATTTAGTGAGTATAGTAGTACAGCATTTAGGGTGGAGTAATATTTAAATACTGTATCTGTTTTCACTTATATTTGAAGTAAAAATTTAAAAAGAGAAAAAATAAACCTAACCCAGTCGATCTGAAGTACTGTAGAGTGCTTTACCGTCTGTCTCTGCTGGCAATTCAAGTTTCTCCCCTGTCTGCCACAGGCAGTGAGGCAGTAACTCCTGCCCATGTTGCTGACTCTCTGTGCCCTGACCTCTTCCTGCAGGCTGCTGCTCACTGCACGGCTGCTGCCCCGGCACTGGCACCAGGCAGCGTTGATTCAGCTGCTTTAAGTTTGCACCCTTCAATGCTGCAAATGGAAGTGTTGATCTTAAATAAAGTCATTGTGATTCTGTTTGTCACAGGAATTAGAAAAGGGTGACATACATGAATAATGCAGCAGTGAGGGAAAATGATAGCCAATTAAGCGTAGATTATTTAAAAAAGAAAAAAAAAGCAAAAACCTGTTGAACTGTATCATGCAGTCAGTGAAAACAGTTTAATGACATCCATTTTCCTTCCTTACAGCTAGGGAAAACACATAGACTGTAGAGAAAAGCTATACTGGTAAAGCACACAATGACAGATTGTTAGAATGATTTGTAAGGCTTTTAATTTTGGATTTTTATGGATTCTAATATCATATCCCATGTGCAACCAGTAGGGTAAAATAAAAACAGAAGAGATAGTAAGAAAATACTCATTCTAGCTGCTTGTTTTTTAAAAGCATCACTTCTCTAGAAATTGGTTAAGCAGATTTTGCTGACTCACTTAGGCATGTGATTTACTGTAAGGAAGCAGGGCCAGGGCAATGTCTACGGAGTCGTGCAGGGATTGGAAACAAAGAGGCAACAGATGAGGGTACCTGTGGGCCAGCAGCTATTCCCTGGGGAAACAACTTCAAACGAAGATCTTAAGCCTGGAGGTTAAAAATAAAAAAAATAAAAATAAAAAAATCTTGGTTTGAGCAGTTTTACAGTGCAAGTACTAAAAGGTGGATTTTTGTGTTTGAGGCACTGACAGTTTCCTGGGAATCCTCTTCATAGCCCATAATGTGAGAACTCGATTAAAAAGGACCTATTCTGTGGCTGATGAGCGCACCCTAATGATGCCCAGGTCTAAGGATTTGTACTGCTATTTTTCCTGAATTTTATATTTATGTGAAGACATCACATGCATTCATAAGGCAATAAATAAATAGATTCAGTGGCACATGGCTTTTAGTATTCATATTTTCAAAATTTGTCATTTCTGCTTTTTTGGCTTTGAAAATTGAGGATTAAGAAAGATCTTTCTGTCGGCTCCTAGGAAGTACTTAATTATCCCATAAAATGTTGCAGTTGATGGTAAAAGAACTGTGACATATGAATGTTAGTGAGATCTTTAGTTTCTTTACCACTGAATTTTATGTTTACGTATAAGCAAGGTGGCTTTGGTCTTGATTTTTTTATTTATTATTTTTTGGTCCTTTCCATGCCAGTGAAATCAAATACATTACAGAATATTTGAGTTTTCTCAAAGGCATTGTTTTTTTGTCTGAGATGCAGTCATTCAGGTAATCTGTAAACCTCTCTTCTCAGCAAAAGCAATTTTGTTCTTTTTTGGTCTTCTCACATTTTTAGATTTCTACCCTTTTTTTTCCCTTTTATGATTCTAGAGCTCTTCTATAACATATTTGCTAAACTGCTGCAAATAAAGTAATTGATTTTGGTTATCTCTTATACAATGCTTAGCTAATACGCCAGCTAATAAACCATGCTCAGTTTCTCACTTGAGAATAAGGGACAGCCTGATACTCTTTGTGCTTTGTTAAGGAATGTTCTCAACATCCTCTGCCTCTGATACTTCTTAAATGGCTGTTGAAGTCAGATTGTGGCCTTTCAGAAGTCAGTAATTGTGTCCAGAATAGGAAATCTCAGTCCCTCTCAGCTCTGCTTTGTTTGCAAGCCACCTACCACTCTTCTGTCAGTGTTCTTTTATGAGTTTATTGAAACTTTAAGTATCTGTAATCCTGATTTAAAACTTAAATTTATCTTTTTGGCATTAGGACTGTGAACCTAAAATTTTGATGCCCATCCCTTTGCTAGCTTTCAGGCAAAATTACGGAGCAATAAAATAAGCTGATATGTGCTGTTTTCTTGATGTCTGCTGTTGTAGTGGTGATGGCTTGTGACTGTGAGTAATAGGGCAATGTCTTAAGTGTAATGTGTTGCCTCATGTATGGACTGGGGGCCACTGCTTTGAAATATCCTGTAGGTTAGGATAAGACCTATGTATCCCTGCAAGGCTGAAGGCATGGAAAAGATTGTCAGATGTAATTATCCAGTGCAGCGTGCCAAGACTAGTTATTTAAGTATTTATTCACTCTCAGACAGGTTTCACAGCCCCTGAATGACCCCACGCTGCTAGCAGGCAGCTGCGAAGCTTGTTAAGGTATGTCTATTTAAGCTGTGGTAGCACTTTTGACAGGCAAGAAGTGCCCATCATCTTGATGTACGTCCCTTTATTATGTCAGTGTGTTGCATCATGGAGACCCTTTCTGTTCCCTATTACAAGAGTGCTGTGGCACTAAACAGCATCCAAAGCCATAGCAACATAGGCTAGTGCTTTGTGTCAGCTGTTGTGCATGGCAATATTTTTTCATTGATTTCTTCTCATTTGCCCTTTTGTTTTAGAATACTTCATTGCTTGTTATCATTTAGATAGCTAATGTTGCGTATCAGAGTTGCTGGGATTACATGGGAGCTGGCACAGTGGTCTAGCTGGGAATAAATGAGTTGTTGATCTAAAAGCACAGTTGCAAATCTGGCTGTTGCTTAGCTGGGGGCGAGTTCTGCATTGCTGGATCTGCTCGAATCGGGCTGCAGATACTCCTTTCTTCATTTTCTTCATTTATTTCT